ATTAAGTTCATGTGCCAACTTGCCTGGCCCATGTTTTTTTATTTTGGATAAATGCATTCATTTGCAAAATGTGATCATCCTGTTTTAAAAGTCTTTAAAAAAAAAAAATCCAAGATTAATCAGCCAAAATTAAGATCACGCATTTTTCTATGGAGTTAGAATTTTTTTTTTTTTTTTTTTTTTTAAACAGAGTTTCTCTTTGTAGCTTTGGAGTCTGTCCTATAGCCCAGGCTGGCCTCAAACTCACAGAGATCCACCTGCCTCTGCCTCCCGAGTGCTGGGATTAAAGGCGTGCGCCACCACCGCCCGGCTAGAAATCTTTACTTGATTTTACCTTAGAGAATAAAGTAACTAGATGATTACTAAGTTGTTTTGTTTTTGTTTTTGTTTTTTTAAAGAAAACATAGAATTAATCTGAAGATAAAAGAACCAGGATAAGCTGGGTGGTAGTGGTGCAAGCATTTCACTGTATGCAAAGTATACTTAAGTGAAGTTGGTTTATAAAAGTGAAATTCAGCCGGGCGGTGGTGGCGCTCGCCTTTAATCCCAGCACTCGGGAGGCAGAGGCGGGTGGATCTCTTTGAGTTCAAGGGCAGCCTGGCCTCCAAAGCGAGTTCCAGGAAAGGCGTAAAGCTACACAGAGAAACCCTGTCTCAAAAAACCAAAAAGGAAAAAAAAAAGTGAAATTCCTTGTGGTCTGTGGCCGGGTTCTGGAGACCTGGGGACAGTTGCAGAAGCACTCACAGGGCTGGACAGAGGTTCAGTGTCAGGGACGCGTTTACTCTGTGGAGACAGAAGGTTGTAGTGGAGAAGCTCTGAGACTGACCGGGCCTGCTTGGTTGGAGCATGCTGAATGCGGTGCGGTGCGGTGAGCCAGCATCCTCATCCGTCCGTGCAGGGCATTGCTAACTCCCCGCCCTCCCACCTGCCAGGCTTGTAGCGGAGAGTTAATGACAAGTTAAAGGACAAAGCACTTTTCAGATTAGAAGCTTTAAAAAAGACCAAGGCTTTGCTTGTGCCCACTAGTAGTTGATTTTGCTCTCAGGAGTGTTCGGAAGGTAGGTGGGGAGGGTGGGTGACGACGCTGAGCGCAGCTTGTTCCAGCCTCTCACTTCCCGCCATTGCCAAGTGCAACACAGATCTGTGTGCTGTACTTCCTGTTTGGTGAGCTCCTGTGGGCCCTAACTCTGGGCCAGGCTCTGGGTGGTATGCTGTGTTGGATACACTGGTAAGTATGATTTGGTGCCTACTCTTTAAGGCACAAAGGACCACTGTGATATAAGACAATATGAGAAATGCCATTTGGGAAGCCAGGCCCAGTGCTAAAGGAACAGAGTTCAGAGCAGTTCACTTTAGCCTGGGCCTTTGCAAGAGTCACAGAAGCCAGCAGCATTCTGGGGCCTGGTGTGCACCTCATCTCTAGGATAAGCCTTTTCTCCAGCACCGTCACATAACGAACAATTATTTGGTGCCAGGGACTATGCAAAGGATCCATAAATACATTTTTCTTGAGTCTGCGGTTGTCTTCATTCTCCTGTGCGTTAAGTAAGTTCTGTGTTTGAATCCCGGAGTACAGAATGCAGGTATGAGTGGGTCACTGTTTTGGATTGCTTCACTCTTGGATGACATCAGCAGTAAACAGCCCATGACTTCAGTGAGATTGAGAGGACCAGTGAGGTGACCCTGGGCTCAGGGAAGCACAGAGGCGCTTTTCCTGCCAAGATCATGCAGCCCTTCCCGTGAGTTACTGCTCCGGCTCTTTCTTGCAGTTACGCTCCCCACTCCTGTATCCAGTTCCCTGGGTAAGCCAAATTCCGTAACACTTGCCTCCTACCCATCTCCAGGCACTCTGCCTCTGCTGCCGTTCCTGGGGCTCACAGAGAATGGCTCTCAACAAAGGCCACCGAGAATGAGCCTCACTCCTGCTAACAGACTGTAGAGAGGGTGGTGTTGCCCCGGGAATCAGCTGCAGAGAGAACTGTTTCCTTTGTCAGACAAGCTGCCTGGAACTCACTGTCCTCCATAGTGCTGTGTAGGCCAGCTACAACCGGAGGTGACTGAATCAGAGATGCTTGTGCCTGTGGCCACATCAGGGGTAGGCCTGTAGGGTAACAGGTGGCAGACAAAAAGCTTTGTATTCCCTTTGGGGTAATTGAACAGTCTCCTACCCCATGTCCTTAAAGTACACATTCTGAGCTGGGTGTGGTGGCACAAGCCTTTAATTCCAACACTGGGGAGGGAGAGGCAGGCTGATCTCTTTGAGCTCAAGGCTGGACCAGCAAGGGCTGCATAGTAAGACCTTATCTCAAAAAAAAAAAAAAAAATGTTTTTTACTTAAAACCATATTCTGGTATGTCTTTCTCAGAGCATGCTGGGTGTACAGTTTGAGTGTCTGAAATGTTTTTGAACAGTCAGGTAGTTTAAGAAGTAGTGGGCTGTTAATCCTAGTACTCAGGAGGCAGAGGCAGGCAAATCTCTCTGAGTTTGAGGCCATCTTGGTCTACAGAGGGAGATCCAGAACAGGACAGCCAGGACTGTTACACAGAGAAACGCTGTCTCCAAAAAAAAAAGGAGAAGAAGAAAGTAGTGGTGGCGGGTGGTAGTGGTGGTGGTGGGCTTGGGCTTGGGCTTGGGCTTGCTGGTATTCTTATAAGGAACTGGAATGGCCTTTCAAATGTGTAGAAAATGCCTTTCTATTCTTCTACCCGTGTTTGTATTAACAGTTCATGGGGAAATCAAAATAATGGCTCAGTATCTAGCATGCATGAAGAACTGTAACTCAACAGTTGAACAGCCCAACTTAAAAATAGGCAAAAGACTTGAGGAGACATTTGGCCAAAGAAAATATACAGATAGCTAGTAACTTCATGAAAACATGTTTAACATCACTAATCACTAGAGAAATGCAAATCAAAATTACAGTGAGATAGCATCCAGACCTATCAGAGTGGCTGTTGTTGAAAGCTAAATAAGTAAGCAAAGCAGAAGAGTGTTGAGCAGCTGCAGAGAACTGGAGCCTGTCTTCTGCTGGCAGTGATGTACTGTCGTCCACTGCTGTGGAGATGGGGGCCAGCAAAGGAGTTGCCGTAAAGTGTAGCAGTTCCATCTGGGTCTGCACTCAAAGATCTGGAAGCAGGGACTCGAGTATTTGTACAGCTATATTCATGGCAGCTTTATTCCCAATACCTAAAATGCCAACGGCCTAAATGGCTGTTGACAGGTGAATGGCAAATAGAATGTGGACTACCAGAGGCTGAAGGAGGTGGCTTAGGGGTGAATTGCAGAGGATCTGAGTTCAGCTCCCAGCATCCATGTGAGGTAGCTCATGACCACCCACAACTCTAGCTCCAGGGCATCCAACACCACCTCTGGCCTCTGCAGGCACCTACATGAGTATGGACGTACTCAGACACAGAGGCATAAACATATTCATAAATAAAAACCTTTAAAAGTGTGTGCGTGCGTGTGTATGTGTGTGTGTGTGTGTGTGTGTGTGTGTGTGTGTGTGTGTGCGCGTGTGTGTATGCATGCACAAGTATAACATGTCTATATAAAGATATGAGCATGGCATGGTGGCACACACATTTAATCTCAGCACTTAGGAGGCAGAGGTAGGAAGATCTCCATGAGTTCAAGGCCAGCCTGGTCTACAAAATGAGTTCTGAGACAGCCAGAGCAGTTACAGAGACCCTGTCTCAAAAAAAAAAAAAAAAGAAAGAAAGAAAGAGAGAGAGAGAGAGAGTGCACAGTCATGCCCTCCTGAAAGTGTGTATGAATTGGGTGAGGAGGCACAGGGGACAGGGTCTTACTATGTAGCCCAGGCTGGCCTTGAGCTTGAATTTCTTCTGCCTCAGCCTTCTGAGTGCTGGGGTTACAGATGTGCACCACCATGTTTAGCTCCACTTTTTAGTTTTGGTTTTCCAAGACAGGGTTTCTCTGTGTAGCCCTGGCTATCTTGGAACTCACTCTGTAGACCAGGCTGGCCTTGAACCCACAGAGACCCATCTGCCTCTAGGTATGCTCCACCAACACCTGACTACTGTGTAGTTTTGAAAAGAAAGGAGATTCTGATGCATGCTACAACATGGATGAACCTTGAAGACAAGCTAAGTGAAATAAGGCAGCCACAGAAGGACTAGATGCTATGAACTTCCTCCTCCATGAGCTTCCTCCTCCATGAGCTTCCTCCTCCATGAACTTCCTCCTCCATGAGCTTCCTCCTCCATGAGCTTCCTCCTCCATGAGCTTCCTAGCCGAGGCAGAGGCAGAGGCAGAAAGCAGGAGAGTGTTGCTAAAAGCCAGGGTGGGAATGATAGGAGTTGGAGTTTTCTGGGTAGAGCTTCCTTCCGTTGGAGAAGATGAGAAGTTTCTGAAGATGAGCGTTGGTGATGATTGCACGATGGGAATGCACTTATTGCCACCGGCTAATCACTTAAAAATAGTTTAAATGGTAGCTATATCTATTTTACCACAATTTAAACAATGGTAATGTTTTTTAAATGAACATTAAAGACAGCTTTTAAGAGGAATGGAAGCCTCAAACTGGTATTCTATGGCCCACTTAGAAGATTAGAGCAGCAATTCAGCCTTGTTGGCTGAGGGCCTGGGACTTTATGGGATTCAAGGGCTTTTGTGTCTCCCCAAACTTTTTACACCACCTGGTATAACTATCTTTTCTTCTGTGTTATTGCCCAGGTGCCTTGTAGATCTTAGCCATCCTGTCCCCTTCCCCTGCCCTCCTGTCCCCCTGCCCAGGTGGACAGTAGTGGCAACACTGGTGGCCTTACTCTCGCGGGGCATCTGTGTCCAGCATGGTAATTTTCCATTCCAGTCCCGTTCCAATGTCTTCCTTCTTGGTTTTGGGGGGTGCGTAGCAGGTGTCCTGGGACTGTGCCAGCAGCAGCTGATCTACTGCCCCAGAGAGCCGAACACTAGGAGGAAATTTCCACAGCTTTTAGGGCCCCTGTTCTCAGGAGTGACTTTCCCTCTGTTCTCTGTAGGTTTTCTTTTCCTCTGCCTGCAGTGTGGCTGTGGATGCCACCCTGAGGAAGAAGGCGGAGAAGTTCCAAGCCCACCTGACGAAGAAGTTCCGATGGGACTTTGCTTCGGAGCCCGAGGACTGTGCCCCGGTGGTGGTGGAGCTCCCTGAGGGCATCGAGACTGGCTAACTGCAAATCCTGAAGCCAGGGAGCCCCCTTCCCATGTGGCTACTACCCATTTTCTCTGCTCATCCATCTGTCCTGGGACCCTCCAGCATAGTGATCCAGTCAGGGCCTGCAAAGGCGGAGCCAGGCCCCCTCTTCACCAGTAAATACATTCCTTTGCTGAAAAGCGGAGCATTTGTGGTTCCCTTGATCCTGGCCCTGGTGCTTAATTTCAGAAAAAGGCCCTTTCAGAAGGTCCAGGTGAAACCTGTCCCAGCAACAGTCGAATTCCTTCTGGCAATGAGAAAATGAACCTTCAGTCTAAAAGACTAGCTGCTTATTCTGTACCTGGTTCAAAGAAGAAAGAAGAGACCCGGTCCGTCCCTGGTGTTAGTGGGTGAATTTCTAAGTTAAATGTAGGTTTGAAGTTGAATGTGGTTGTACAGGATTTCTGCCTGCTCCTTGTTGAATGGAAGGAAGCCTGCCAGGAACTGGGTCTCAGCTCTCAGGAGCCCAGCCTGAGGAAGGCTGACAGGAAGACGGCGCACTGAGTCTGACAATGCTCAACTTCAGCATCCTCTCCCGAGGCCCCTCCTGTCTGGAAGCCCCAGGGGTTGGTGTCCCAGAACTGGCCTCTGGTCTGGGGCTTCCGTTTTGAAGCCTCACACTCTCGGGTGGGACACGGAAGCCTTCCTTCCACATGTCCCCACTTTTCACTGAGGCCACTGTGACTTTTTCTGATGACATGGAAATTCAACAGCAAAAGGGAAGGTTCTTATCCCAAGCCCGTCTCTCAGGCCCTGTTAGAGGTGGGCCTTTCCTTTAGAGCCCTGGAGATGCCGGCTGGCGGAACTTCCCAGCCCTGCTGAGGGGCTGCCCTCGGTGCTGTCGCCTTTCTGGGTTCGGGAGTCTCGAGGGCACCCCCGTTGTGCTGTGTGGGCAGAGTTCTGCCTCAAGAAGGGCCCCCAGGCCCTCCACCCTGACCTCAGGCCATTTGCTGTGCTCTGGCCTCCCGGTGCCATCCTCTTCTGGGGCTCAAGCTCCCAGCAGGACGCGGAATGAGAGTCTGTTGGTGCCTCTTGTTTCCTTGGAGATTTTTTCCAAGAGCAGAATGTACATTAAAGTCTTTGAGTTGGGACTAATCCGCCTGTGTGAGTCTGTAACAGCTAATCTGCCCCGTTTCCAGAGCAGCCAGGCTGCTGTCTGTCCATAGACCGCACATCTACCTGCAGAGCACGCCACTCAGCCCCACAGTCTCTGGAGAAGGCAGGCAGACGGCTTTCCTCTGTTTCCAGTGAGACAGACACACCCTGTGGCTCTGTATCAACCTGAAGTTTCACCTTGTGGGAAATTGCGGTTCCTTTCCTCAAAGCCCACTCACCAGAACTACCTGGGGAGCATGTTCACAGTGCAGATCCCAAGAAATGAAGTGCTGATGCGTGCTGCATTGTGGATGGACTTGTGCCCAGGGCTGGGGAGATGGATCAGTGGGTAAGTGCTTGCTGTATAAGGTCCCCAGGACTCATGGAAAAGCCAGGGGCAGCAGTGCACAGCTGTAATCCCAGTGCTGCAGAGGCAGGAGGATCCCAGGGGCCTTCTGAGCAACCAGTGAAGTGAGTTGGTAAGCTCCTGGATCAGTGAGAAGACCCCCTGTCTGTGGAAAGTGATAGACGAAGACATCCAGTGTCAACCTCTGACCTCCACACACTTGCACACAAATGTACCCAACACATGTACCACACACTCACAAACACGGAAATAACATGTGCTGAGGGAAGGAAACAGAACAAGAAAATACCCAGAGTAGCCACGGGTGAACGAAGAGGACCGCCAGCAGTGTAGACTTTGAAACAGTGGTTTGTGGTGGGACACCTGGGGAAGTACAAATGCCCATCCTACTCCACTGGCCTCAGGGGCTTGAGTTCTGAAGCACACCCAGTGTTGAGTGACATTTTTAAGCAGTAACACATCATACTTGATGCCCGAAGCACCTCTGGGACAAAATTTATTCCCCAAGTGTCCCTGTGTCTCCCCAGATGCCCCTCTCTGTATACAAGAGTAGCTGCTGTTTGAAAAATGCTCTGTTCTGTTATTCACTTAATCCTCACAGCGGTGTGCAGCGAGTCTGTAACCGTCAGTTAGCCGCATTTGGCTCGTAGGAAAATGAGCTCAGAGAACACGGCTCTGGCAGGGCCGCACAGCAGTGAGGATCGAGGACAGGGGTCAAGCCCATGCTCACTGGCACCCATAGCCCGCAGGGCTGTCTTCACAGCTCTGTTTCACCCTCTGCCTTTTCTGTGGAGAGCGGCCCTTCCCTCCTCCCCCTGCCCCAGGTCCCAGGCTTGGCTTTGCTGACAGCAGCTATGTGACCGAGGACAAAGTGGTTTGGGGGCCTAAGTTTCCTTATATAGAGGAGAGTTAGCTTGGATTTGGAGGTTCTGATACAAATTTTCCAGGGTCCTCCAAGTATTAAAAGTTGGCTCTGTGTTATTTCACAAATTTCAGAAGGGAAGTGACATTCATACAAGGCAGTATGTCTGGGGCATGAAACAACAGGTCTCTTGTTTGAAGCAGAAATGATAGAATGTTGAGTCTTTGCATGTCCCAATCAGCAATCCTCTGTGTCT